GCGACTGTCCCGCGCACAACAACCGACACTACCACCACCTCCCCTGACTCCAGCGATGAGGATCAGGACTACACCTGCCATCACTGCGACGGTCCCTTCACCTCACACATCGGCCTGGTCGGTCACTTGCGAATCCATCGCACAGAGACTGGCGAACCAGTGCCTGGAACATCCACCTATACCCACCAAGCTCGTCCCAACTGCCCACACTGACCTCGCACTTTCAGGCATCGCATGGGTCTCTTCGGCCACATGCGCATCCACGACGACCTGCGGTAGACAACCGCCGGTCACACCACACATTCACTCACTCCCTACCTCCTCCACCACCACCATCACCCCACCAAAAATCAACACTCACACACCTCATGCACCCAACTGCCACCTCTCGCGCAAGTGGGAAGTCCGCATCTCGACTCGGTCCCCATGCGGCTTCGGCTGCACGGGTGACTAGAGTCTGAGACTATCCCGACACGTCAAGCGTCGTGGATAGGAAGGTTGCTGATTGACGCCCGCTTTCTGTTCACGCAGTTCGTCGCGTTGTGTGTGTGTTGTGTGGAGTGGGGGACTGGTGGGCTGGGAACGGGATGAAACAGCACGTTCCACGGCACCCTCACGCAAGTGAGAGACACGCCGTTCAACCCCCGTTGTGTGAAATCCTGGTGTTGTGTGCATGGGGGGCCAGGTCGTGCCGTGGCGCGCGCAGTCATGGTCAGTCGACAATGACAGCCACCGCGCCCATTCCCCACTCCAGTCTGCTGACCGGCACGGACAGCGGCTGGGGTGTGGGCGTGGGAAGGGAGAGTGAGGTCGACGACTCTGCGCACTTTCTCCTCACTATAAACAATCTGACGCGCTTGAAGCTATCACGGTGCGCTTAAAGCCGTGGCTTGGAAGGTTGTCAACTGACGGGGTAATTTGGACCTCCTCCTTGACTGGAGGCGGTCTGAGAGTCAGGCTGCAATGGCTCCTTTTTAATGTGGCCTTTATGGCTCTCCCATCACTGTGTGGGATCCGAGCCAGGCATTGGCGGCACGCCCAGGTGCGGCTTCGGCCGTGCCAGCCTCCAAATCTCTGTTGTGATTGGTTGAAATCCTGGTCATTTGTTGTGTGGACCAGGGGGTGTGGTGGAACGCCAAGGTGAGGATCCGTCCGAGCCATCCACCTGCGGCCTCCCTCGTCTCCGGTCTTCTTTACTCTGTCTTGACTCCGGGCTCGGGCGAGGGAGGAGGAGAGAGTGTAGGTAGATGCTACGCAAGTCTAGTGGCACTATAAACCCCTGCGTAAGTCACCGTCCCTGCTCCCATTGCTGCTGCAACTGTGGGGCACACGGTGGACATCATCGAAACCGATGGTCGAACTGTCATCCGTAAAGATGTGAGAACACCTGCCGGCACTGCCGAGGAACTGTGAGATTAGGAGCACACACACCTCCGTCCTTGCTCACATGATTAAATCTACATAGTTTGGACCCCAACGAAACTTTCCGTGTGATTTACTAAGTACCTCTAATCTACCTTAGGCAACTGGGTTAGTGCTCGCTAACAACATCGAGTCGACTGCCATCAGGCTACAATTAGCGGCCCTGTGCGTGCATGAAGGCCTCTTGCACGTTCCTCGTCTACTGTGGCTATGTATCGACTGGCTGTATGCATATCTCCATGGCTTATTTCTCCCCCTCCCTTTTTAACACGATTCTGCTTAACCACCGTTCTCATCTACTGCCGCTTCCTCTCTATTCGCACACTCTGCCTGTATGGAAAGACGGAGCGTAGTCAGTTTCCCCTTTCGCCCACACGTTTTACTTTGTACCTCGTTGCGTATTATTCTGCCAGCCCGATGATAATTTGTCGGAAGCACGCGTATGCTCTCCGAACGGTCTTATGAATTCTAATTATTTTATGGCAATTCGCTATGTGATTTTGTTTTTCCTTTACAGCTCTCTGAAAACGCGTTTTGCTTTATATTCCGTAGGTACTTCGCAGCTAACACTTCGTTTTCGGTTTCGCAATCGTGAATCCTAGTTGAATATACTGCTCGATAAATTGCGGTGATGACATTATCATTTATCTGAAGAACTTTTGCCAATAATCAGACAGTTGCGAATGCACTTTATACTTATCTCTCTCCCATACCTTGTCGAAGTTAAATATCTAGCAAATTTTTTCGTACCTGCGTTCGGTAAAATGACATTCGAACATGTAAATCCTGTCTGAACATTTTCCGCACCAACGTGCATTGATAGTTTGTAGCAGTCCACTTTACTAGTTTGTTTTATTCATGGGTTCAGTGGACACTAACAGGGTCGAAAACGTGATATAATAAGCCTATTTTATTTTATTCTTTATGATTAGCACAGCGTGTAGCCACCATTCGGATACTAAACTCAGCAGACTAGACCGATAGCTTTCGAGTTTCACATGGATGTATACATTTGCATCTTATAAAGGGTTCCGGAGTTCTCGACCACCGGCATATTAAAAAACTTCAATCCGTTTTATCAGTATTTACAAGTACACACTGAGGAAACCGACGTCAAATGACCATAAACTTCGCCTATTTTTATAGTTCATGCCTCACTATTAGACATGCGTCCTAACCTTCCTCTGGCGAAATACTTTCCCGCGGAAACGAAGAACTTTTCAAGCAAACTACAGCATATAAAAACGTCGTCTCTTAGGGCTTCGTCAAAAATGCACTAGGTGGACACTAGTAACAGAAATGGGAAATCGTTCAAGTTAAGAAAATGCGAACTGGAACACAGTAGACAGCGTAATTAGAGAACAGTGAGCACGTTTATACGTGCAGTGTCTTTTTAACAATATGGGAGAGACCAAAGTGACCGGGCCCATTTTAAGCCAATCTTTGTAGTCCTGACCGAAAAAAAACTAATCAACGATCAAATAGCGTGCGAACAAATGAATGCAGAGGGAATTCAGTTTATCGTCATGTATAAGGCCGTGGAACATTTTTCCAGAAAAGAACGAACTTATAGAAAAACGCAACATCCCATCCTCCAAAACGCTCTTCGAAATCCTGTAGCAGCCACTAAGTTGAGCGCTGAGAGTTCCAGTGTCTTCCTGTCTGAAACATTTATTAAGAGCTCGACCGCTCCTATTCCGACCGTCTACGCTTGGACAAGGCCGTTCCTCAAATTGTAACTTTCCTCCTGTGAGACGTGACTGTAACGATTCGGCCTTTTCGTTAATATCATAGCCCTGGACCTGATGGCATCCAAGTTAGCATTCTAAAAGCGGACGTTAATGAAGTCTTTCCGCCCCTCTTGTGCAAGATATTTAATCTCGCTCTTGAAACTGAAGCCTACGCTACTTTGCGAAAGGAATCAAACATTTTGCCCATTCTGAAGTATGACCAATCTACGTCATTTGATTACATTCGTCCAGTAAACACCCTCTCAGCAGTTTCAAAAATCCTAGAGACATTGGTCAAAGTTA